GTTAATTAACAAACGGAGACGTAACAATAAACCGATATACAAATTCGAATAAAGCATTCTTCTCAAAGCTACTAGAATATGTTTAGTTTTAAACGTATTTCACTGATCTATTGAATCGAATGAAATTTGTACTCAAAGTTACTAGTATAAGATTAAAAACTTGAACATATTTTACGTTCTTAAGTTTAGAAATAGTGACCTTATTTAAGTGTCTCTTCAAGGTTACTTACTACTATAAGGTTAGATAAGATACATAAAACATATTTTTCTTATCTATGGAATCAAATAGATCTTATCAGAGGCGTCGCTAGGCGCTGGCACACAGGGCCCGTGCTTCCATTCTATTTGACAGAGCCACGAATCTTTTAAGCACCTGGCGACGTCACTCGAACTTATTCTCAAGTTTACTATAGTTTAGTGCTTTAACGTATTTCCTTGAGCTATCGAACCGAGTAAAATATTTCCTCAGTGCTACTACCTCTCATTTAAAGACCATAGAAACGTTTTACTAATCGCCTGAATGGTACATTTTCTCAAGTATGAGGCTGAAAAGTCGTTGAACTTATTTCACTGATCTCTTGAATTGCATGAAACATTCCTCCAGATTTACGCATTTCACAGCTATTTATGCTTGTTTTACTGCAAGATTTCTGAAGCTAATCGAGGCTTGGAGCTTTTTTTATATATATATAACGTTAAAATAACAATCAGCACCTGGAACTTTATTTACTCGTTTTGTTTTTTATTTTTGCAGAAAATTAAGTTCTTTAAACTCAGTTCAATAATTATATCTTAAACCATTTAGAACGTCCAACAGTTATCATACACCACCCTACTCTCTTGCTGAGAGTACAATGACGGAGTTTGATTTGTGTAAATTTTGAAAAACCGCTTGCACCATATCATGCTGAAATATTTTGTGTGTTCAAAAATATCGAACAAGAGAAATATAACATTAATGAATTATTTGTTAAAAAAGAAATGGAATTATCATATATAAACTAACTTGTATGTACGTAGCAAGATAAAAGATTCAGTTCTTACCAAGATACAATTATAGGCTTAGTGACATTACACTAATTTTCTATAAACAAGGGGTGCCGAGAAAGAACCGCATGAAGACGACGATGTGCACTGTAGTCTTATTCAAACAAGATGGAGTTGTTGAGGGAAAGCTTTAAACAAACATTGTCTTCGAAAACATTTATTAAAAACTAACAAAATATATATGCATATACGTACAAATAAAAGCTGTGATCCTGAACCTCGTAAACTAACAGTCACTCAACTAATGTTACATCGATCACTCTATAATACTCGTATTCTGCATTGTGATCCAAGAAAGCAGCGTGCTAGATCGTCCTCTTTACAACAGTTTAAAAAGTATGAGCATAAATAGAGTTTATTAAATGAATACTTCATACCAAAAACAAAAACCAAGTTCCTAACAAGGTCAAGTTCCTGGGTGCCATTTTAAATACAGATACGCCATTAAACATTCGGTCAGTCAGAGCATAATTAGACAAACTAACTTTCACCGAAGGTAGGTCACGCGGAGGAACAAAAGGGAGTGGGATCTTTATTTCTCGAGTAATTTTCTAAATGTTGTTAACACTGATGATTTGATTAATCCACCCAATGAAGGATGAAACCTTTACGTAAACTCCTGGCACGTCTTTGCGTCCACACCCAAATCCCCACGACACCAGTCCACTCAGCTCATAATAACCGTCCACTTCACACACCAGGGGACCGCCGCCATCACCCTGCACAAAGAGAAATAGTTGATTTTAAGAATGACGAATAGTTTGTTTAAACAAACACATTTTTATTCTTTCAAACAAAAGTGTTTCAGGCTAGCTAGCTTCTCGGCTTCAATTGTAACATTCAAGTTTACTTCTCTCTGCGGCGAGACTTTTTAGTGCAAAACACAAATTTCATACAATTACCACCAGAGAACAGAAGTTTCGAAGTACATCAACTCTCCTCCACCAAGCTAAGTTGAAAATTTAAAGACTGTCATTCAGTAGGAATTAATAATAAGTCTTTAAGACGGTACAGAGCAGCGTGTCCATTCACATACATTTGTGTGTAAAATACGCACAAATTTGGGTCAGGATGTACAATGTGAACAGAACCTAGTTCCATGGACGCACAAATATTATGCCTTTTTTCATATAATTTCGGAGTAGATTAGTTAAAAATGTAAAAATAACGTATTACGATTGCACATGAAAAACTATTTAAAAAAATGGTCTAACTTTATTTGACATCTGTTTTCTATTATATGTTGTTCATAAATTATTTGAAATAATATATGCATAAAAACGATATTGCCGCCAATCCCTTAATTTTTCTTTAAGTACCTGTTTCAGGCCTGAAGAGTTACTTGGAATCCGCAACTTAATAAAACCTAATTATAACTATTTAAGTAATTTCTTTACTCAAACTTTTCATAAATTTGATATTTTAACAATATGTAATACTTATTTCACAAATGAAAAACATGTTTCAACTTACATTTTTACCGAATTTCTTGGTGTATGAGCTATAACGAACCATTTGAAAGTTTTATTTTTAGTTCTTTCCTAAGCTTATATTTATTTCCCTTAATCAAATTTCGTTATTTACTGATAGCTTAATGTTTCTACACCTTTTGTTTTTCAGAAAGATTTTAATTTTCAGTGCCCTTTAGTCGAGAATACAATAGTGTAGTGCGAAGATTAGTCGAGCGTTTGAAAAGTTGAAAGTTAGTACGGTCAACTGTAACCAACAGTAGTGAAGCGATTTGAAAGAATTTAAAAATTCTTTACTATTTAGAAGGTAGGCATTTTTTCCTATGAATTCCGATAAAGAAAACAATTTCATATTTACAGAGCGCAAATTATAACTCGTATTGTTCTAACGTAGTTCTTTCTTTGCGTTAAGCCTACCATTACGTATTAAACATATACACTTTACTAGGACTAACGTACAAGCAGTTCACTTGACTTGTGCAAACTCGCGCGATAACTTAATTAAGTTGACGCTTCACGTAACGTATTTTCTAGGGCTAACGTAACTTAACAATAATTACATTATCAAAAAGTTGCAGCTCTAGCCAACAAATAGAAATATATTAAGTTTGTACTATAAACCTTGGGGAAATGTTCCATTTGATTCGATATATAATTACATAAAGCACAAAAATCTGTGTCTGACTGTTTGTCCGTTATCTCTGACGTCAATTAACGTTAACTATATTAATAGATGGCGCCATCTCCTTACACAACATTTTTTTTCATTAAACTTTCTACAAGTTATAACACAACATAAATACGGTGTAGAGGGAGGGCACACAAACGGTGTGTGTGCTAGCACTCTACGAGG